CACTTATCGAGCTGCTACGGCGGCGATAGGGGAAAGGGATTATTGGGAGTAGGGGAGAAAGTAACCTGAGGGTGTGTTGACGGGCGGGCGGGGAAGCGGGATGTGTGCATGATCGCTGCAAGTCATCCGCTGCAAGGTTTGCAACTCTACTCATCCTACTGTTACGCAAGCAAGTCTGTCCATTTATCCTAAATACGAGTTTGTGTTTCTGTTGTCTCCCTTCTTGTTGTGTTTGTGCTATACTCATCATATACTCACACCACATACTTTCATAGGTCGAGGCATCAGTTGAAGTCTACCTTTCATTGGCATCAAACTATTGCCGAGTCCTCAGAGTAGCTCGGAAACAAGAAAAAACAAAATATACCCAATCTAGAAACATAGCCCGCACATAAAGATCTCGGCAGTGGTCGCGGCAACGCGGGCCAGCGGGAGCGGCGGTGTGGGGGAGTTGGGTGGCACTGGGGCCATCGAACGACTTCGGGCGGGGGTGCCACAGAGTCAAACTGCGGAGAGACAACTGCGGAGACAACAACGAACGAGAAAGCAATGTTGTCAAAGACTTTCGTGGGCATCAAGCAGAGGTGTAGCGCACATATCGGTACCCAGACAGCCTAAATCGTATGAGGGAAAGACAAGGAACGAGTCAACCCTATAGGTCAAGTGAAGTCAAGCAATGCTGCCTGCCCATCGATGCATATTAACAGGGGAGAGTTCTAGAATGAGGTCTTGTTGCAGAGTTGCGGGCACCGTCACAATGCGGCTCCCGCCAATGAAGGCCGGCTCCCGGGGTAAGTACATTCGAACTCATTGCTTAGGATTAGTTTTGCTATGTCCTTGTCCCTTGAGTCTGAACTCCTTTGGGGCTACCATCTTGGCTATGGTCGGTGGTAGTTGACCATCTTCTTCGCCGCCGCCGCCGCGGAAAGCCGGAAAACATGGAGCCAGAGTTAGACGACGTCCGCACGATTAAGCGGCGTTGTGGGCTGACCAAGGAGCGGGAGGCGCCTACAGACCTGCAGCAGAAATCGTCTCAAGTCCTGATGTCACCCTCCACTCCTAGAGTCCCTATTGCTTGCTGCGGGCTGTATTCGTACGGAGTCACATCTCCAAGTGGGCTGGTAAAAAGGCCGTTTCTGCAAGACCACGAAAATCTGGGACCGGGCATACAACCCGTCCCCGGCCGCAGGCTCTGATAGGTACGTGTAGCTATGCAGTCTTGCAGAGAGACAGAGAGGCCTTTGCCACCATCTCTCACCCTGCGGTTGCATCGGTATATGCGACCCGCGGCGAATGGGCGATCTGTGCAGTAGCTTCTTTCGCTGAAGGTCGCCAGGCCAGTTCGTGTCTGCAGTTTCTTTGGAGGCTCAGAGAGGCTGAGAGACGAGTTCTCTTTGTTTGAAGCAACGTGCAAGCACCTGCTTCGCGTTGCAATTTGCACACACAAGAGTGATGTGGCTCCGATTTTCTCCGGGGCTGGATATCTGCAATTCTATTTTTGTTCGTCCATTACTTGTGGCGGCGTGAACCTATGGCTGCAGAAGCAAAAGGGACAAAACGTAAATTGGCCGCGATCGGTTGCAGAGGGTTGATTATGATGGTGGTGGTTGCCATCGACGATGTCATATCGGATATGTGACTTCCTCGATGCGGAGAGAGAAGACCGGCGGGTTGGAGGGCAAAGGACGCCAGTGGCACGGTCGATCTGCTCCCCCAGATCAGATCACTCAATCTAGACCTCCTTCTTTTTCCTTAGATAATGCCGCCGTTTGGCTTGACTGTAACATACTATAGAAGCGGTTCCGCTGTCTGGTGCGGTTAGGAGAAACATCATACATCACACACAGATATGGAAACATCGGCTGATGATGGGTTAGAAACATAGTTTCAGCGGACCGCAGCTTGAATATTTTCCTGTTTCCTTCTCTCCGGCGCCAGCCGATAGGACCTCGGCTTGGCTCAGCCGACCGGGGAAAGGGGGGGGGGGGCGCTGCTCCTGCGGCGGCGGAAGGGGAGGGGAGGGACGGCATTGTGCAGTAGTTTGGTTGGAAGTTGCTCCTCTGTACATACGAATAGGCGCGCCTACTATTCTACCTTGAAGCTGGCACCTGTTGCATTGGGGGCTGTGGGTGTTGGCCTAGGATCTGGATGGGCTACCTGGCGGTCTATTATGGCAAGATCGTAAGATGGAAAACGGCCTTAGGTCTTCAATATTGCATTCGTACGAGCAAAGAAAACAAGCGGAGAAAGGGAAAACTGGCTGGGGCAAAAGGGCGGGGAACGCGGGAATTACTTGCGGCTCGCGAGGTGCAATTTTGAACGTCTGTTCAAACTTCAACGTCCCATTGTTGCCAGGGTTTTGCTTCGGTTCAAGATTGTGACCGAATCCAGCAGTGATGCAACAGCAGAAAGGGCCCATGGTGTGTGTATGCCATCTTGAACTGGAGCAATGCAATGGATGCCATGGATATTATTAGTGCAGTACACAATTGAGACAAGTTTCTGCGCAACTAATACCTACCCTCTAAAATTATCCAATTGCTCAATCGCTTATTTGCTGTGGGTTTGCGCGTTTGGTTTGAAGAGCGAATTACTGTGAATAATTGCGCAAGAGCCAAGGGTAACAATGGCATCATCGCCTAAGGACGAGTACCAAAAAAAATAAAAAAAAATAAAAAAAAAATCAGAGCTCGATCCATAACTCGCAGGATCGACTTACACCTAACAAACCATGACAGTTTCTTGGTGCGGGTTTGATAGTACAGGTGAACCCTGCTGAGCCCGCCGGAGAATAATAAATGAAAGATGTACGTACAATATACGTGAGTTGCAGTCCGGCCATGTGGGAATAACTTCACAAAAGCCAGGACCAATACCAATGCCAATGCCCAATGCCCAATGCTTGATGCCAGTGGTTCCGGATGGGGAGAGGGATCCACTGGCTTATGTCACCCTAATTAGGTGGAGAAGGAGGCTACTTCGGTCTGGAGTCGATAAGCAAGGCACACTAGGTAGGTGCGGATCCGCAGCGGCATTAAAAAAATCAAGAGGCTGAAAAAAAAAAAAAAAAAAAAGAGGTACCTCAGACTCCAGACTCCAGACTCCAGTCTCCAGAGAGGGAATTTTCACCTGTCAGCGCAAGAGAGAAAAAAAAGAAGGGAAGACAGGGGATCGCCCGTCGCAGGGCTGTGACTTGTTCATTGTAGGGACCGGGAAGCAGGGTAGGTACCTTCTGCTGTCGATGGGAGAAACCAAGAAAGGGGGCGTGAACTTAGCAAAACGTGCTCGGGAGATCTGGGGCGCCTCAGACACCTACCCACTGGACACTTTTACTCCAGAGGCTCTGACGGAGCGCGAGATGGTCGCGAAAGCGGAATGCGACGGGGGAAAAGACCTTACTCGAGTTTACCACAAATCTTGAAAGTCACTTCTTCTCCAGAAATACTTGTGTAGGCGATGTGCCTGACCCTCCCGCCATGCCCGCTCAGGGCCGTTTTGCTTGGCATCTCGTCGATACTGCACACCCAGGCAAGGGACGAGAGCGAGCGATGTGGAATCTACCCTGTGTGATCCTTTGGTACGAATACTTTACCTTTCCAATAGCACCGAGTCCAAGGGCCGATAAGAGACCGTAGAAATCCAGCTGGTCGGCCTGTGTGCATCTGACATTACCTTGAGGTACCCTGAATATCAATGATACGGCGGATAGGCACCGTAACCCTCCCCCTGAAGGTCAGCGCTCATGGGCAACCTGGCAGCGCTTGGCGCATAGCTGAGCCCTGCAGAAATGCCCGCCAGCACAAGCAAACAGCGCCCACACCTTGGCACCCTCCTCTGTGACCAATATGCACAGGGTGAGGAACGAATATACCTCGACGAGCTCAAGGGAGTAGTGTGTCCGCGGACTGCAGAGCCCGGCGCTGCAGAGCATGTGGGGTTCCTCGATCTGACGCCATTTTTTCCTTCGAGAAGAAACGGGGCTCTCAAGGGACGGGAGAAAAAGATTCCCCCACGAAAACCCGTCACTCCTCCCCAGCAAAAATAAGTACCTATCCTGAAAATCCTCAGAGGGAAAAGTCGCGCTCCCTAATGAGTAAGCCAATGGCTCCCTCCACCTCACCTTCTCACCTCAGCCATCATGGTCCTCTTTTTCTTTTTTCTCTCCCCCTCCCCCCTTGGTGAGCTTCCAGCTGCATCCGGACTTGCCCGGTGCACTATGACAACACACACTCATCTAGACTCATTCGCTCGCTCGCTCGCTCACTCAAAATCTCACTCACCAACTCACTCACTTAGATCTCATACACTACTCCGTAGCCGGCCAGCTTAATCTCATTCCACACTCCCAAACTCACTCTGGGTCTCCTTGCGACCTCACAAAGAGCGCTACCGCAGCCACTGCGGCTCAACCAAATATGTGGACCCCACGATGCCCAGGTCGGGGTCGGGGCCCCGGACGAGCCACGGCCTATTATCCCCATCTCTGCCCCTGAGCCCTGGAAGTGTCTCTGAGCTGGTGCTTCCAAGCGGTCCGCGTCAAGCCGACATTTGGCCGATGGTGACGATGGACTTTTCATGCTCTCGGTGGACCCGGCTCTTGACCGACCACTGCTTCTTATCGGTCCTTAACCGCTGAATCTCTACCTGTGGCGGGTCGTCCGTCATATTTGGTGGAGTTGAACTAGTTTTTCCTTCCTCTGTCTCTTTCTCTCGCCTCACCCTGAACTTTGCAGCTTGAGAATTCGTAACATGACACACTCCGTCAGTCTCGGAATTGGCTCCTGGTTGGGATTCTTTTTCTGACCAGTCTCCAAATCTCGTCAAAACCTGGGGCTGGGCAGCCTAGGATGAGATTTTGCCAGGGCTGCCAAGGGGAAGGCCGTCAAGGGACCACTTTCCGTACCGTATTATCGATTCATGCTCGTCCTATCTGTCGGCCAAGCTCCGGTCCTTCACCCGGAAAATTTCCACCGTGGCCCTTTCTCCGCCATCCCTCTTTACTACTCGGCCAAATCCTGGTTATCTCGGCCGCTAGTCGCTGCCTCACCCACATCTTCTGCCTCGTCGTCTTCGTCATCACCGTCGCCGCCATCGCCGTGCCCGTCTCCGTTGCTACCCCCGTCATCCTCGCTCTCGGCCGCCTGGGTCCCAAGGAGAATGTCTTCGCTGCCTTGCCACTGCGGCGGCGGGCCGGGAAGCGCCGACTCGTCTTCTCGTGCCCATCCGTATTCCTCGTTATCTTCCTCGCTATCAGGAACCTCGAGGCCAGCCTCTGCCAGCTTGCGTTTCGCTCGTGGAGCCGTTGGAAGGAATAGCGATGGTTGGCTAGTGTCGTACTGCACACCAACCAAACCCGTCTGTCACGATAACGAGCCATGTCAGCAAACCACATAATCTCTCGCCTCGAAAATTCCGCTTTTGCGAAATTATGCCGGAATCGTGACTGCCCAACGAAAATACTGACCGCCTCAACTCTAAACGCCGCTGCGCTCTGCATCATGTCCGGCCCAGCCTTGCCGTCTAGCTTCTGCACACCGGCGAAGCATACAGACCACGGTCGCTCTTCCTTCCATACCCAGTCTCTGAACAGCACGACCCGCGTCGACATGCCCTGTTCCCATACCCCAGCATTAATGGATGGGATCAATGTCGCGCTCCGTTCCAAATGCATCTTGGTTGCACATTGCGACAGGACCACCACTGCGCAGTCGCGTGTTGCTGCTAATTTCTGTAGGGCACTGGTGATATACTGCAAAGCTTGGAGCCGCTTCGCTGATAGACCAGGACCTGAATGATATGAGTAGAAAACCTCGACGTGGTCCAGGACAACTCACCTTTGCCGCGCGGCTGATCTTTTCTACCGTCGGGCGCTTTGGGAAAAGCATGATTCACCAAAGCTGATAAGGAGTCTATCACAACCACAACCGAATTCGCTGGCACTGTCGCCGCCGTAGGACGGCAGAGAAGTGCTATCAGATGAGGCAGGCTGGGGCAGCTATAGTGTGCAAAATGATCCGTGGCGGATTTCGCCGCTTCGGTGTCCTTAGATGACCGAGTTGATTCCACTGCCCCGATCACCGCGCTCAGTCGGTGGCCGCAAACTGAATACGCACAATCTTTGACATGTGTGTCAGTCTCTTCGTCGTCTGCCCGCGCATGGTAGTCTTAGATGAACCGACCTACCCACACAGCGTCATGCCCTTGGCATAGCGCATTGGCGACCAGTTGAATACTTTGCTGATGGGTCAGTCATGAGTACATGGCGTCGTCTGCAGGACAGCATAATGGCAACTCACCCTACGGCAGTCTTGCCTGAGCCTGGTGGTCCCCAAATCTCTGTGACCTGTCCTCTCTGAAGGCCTCCCCCGCTTGCCGAATCTGGTGTCCGAAGAGACGAAGACGATATAAGAGCCCCATCTAGTCGTTCAATGCCGGTAGAGACATATCTAGCGACACCGCCGTCTAATTCTTCCAGTGCGTCAGCGGCGGACACTGTAGGCAATCGATCTGCACTCTGTTAGGAGCTGTGATGGTTGGAAGACGGGGTCATACATGCGTGTGGAAGGGAGGTCGAAGCTAGAGATATCCTCCTCATGAATGGAGTGGTATTTCTCCATTGCTAGGACCTCAAATTTTGCTTGACGGGGTTTGATATGTCCCGATTGACGACGTGAAGTTGAAAAGGTTGCACAGTATGACTCTGTCAACCTCACACGTGTCCGAGATGAGGTCATCAGCCACACTCGTGGCATGCAGTCATGTGGCTGAGGGAGCCTGCGCACCTTCTCGCCGTGCGACGACAGGAGCTGCCTAGGTACCTTAAGGTCTACCTGCCTTATGGCAAGATATCTTGCATCATCTTTTTGTATTCTCTAAGTTCAACCTACTCTGAACCCCAAAGAACAACAAGCCAACCTCAATCGTTGTGACGAGGAGCTGCGCTGCGATCCTCATACCATAGTCGAGTCGACGTACCGAGCCCCATCCTACTTCAAGACCTTGACTTCAAGACCAGCAGCTCCAAGCAATCACTGCCTTCCACAGAATTATTGTGGTTTCTGCACCTCTGTCTTCTGAAACATGTACGAACCATGGGAACGATTGGCACAAGATACCTTTGGGAATCCTACGTGGCCACCAGTCCGTCGATGCTACTCAGTCAGACAAGACTTCCAATTCGAGCCGCCCCAGCTTTTGCAGCCTTCCGGTACCGACCATCCGGAACGTTCAGGACCTTTCCGGGGCCTTGGCCAAGTTTCGGACGACAAGAATCGCCAGCACTGACGGCAGTGTTTCCGGGCCAAACAGGTGGAACGTGGCCGCCAGGGTCCATTGCTCGAGCGTGCCGTTTTGCGTATGCAGTTCCCTCGATTCCTCACCGAAGGCTTCGCGAGTCTATTTTCACAGCGACTCGGAACATTCTAGGACCCCTCCGGTTTCACAGCTTTTGCAGACCTATAGTCCAGTGAGCTTGGGCTCTCTGATCTGGTATCACCTCAGGCTCGTTGCTGCCTGTAACCCTAGCGCTCGATTCTCTTCACTCGTGGTTTCACCTGCCGGACCATATACGATCCTGGTATTGACACTTTACTACTGCCGGCAGGCAATCTGTCTGAATTTGAGAAGGGTTGACTAGAGCGCTGCTGGTGGTAGCACTCGTTCGGAAAAAATGCCGGGGAATCGCCCCCAATCGCTTTGGCTCAATAATGCTCAATAACACGGATTAGCCTTCAGCTATCATGGCATGATCCAGCCTGGGGTTTGCGGGGTTTGACATGCTCAGGCTGAGGCAATTCCTGACCTGGGGCCACCCCCAGATATTTTGGTTACTAGAACGCAACTATGTGTAAGTCGGGCGAAGTGGAAAGCTAGTCTTCGTATTTGTACGGCTACCCTGGATACCCGAAATCTGACTCCGTACTGACCGGTTGAATAGGCATTGCTCGGGTCGGAAATCGGAACGGCTATCCACAGAAAAGCCGGGCCTCTCACGAATGCATAGCAGGATCCTTGCGGAGATCAGAGATGTGTCCTACATACCCGACAGCGAAGGCCCGAGGTGCCTTACATGTATCCGTACAGTCACGGCCAAACTTTGCCCTAGAGCCTGAGCCTCAACGCATCTCAATGCAATAGAGTTCAAGGGTCTACCTGGCGACGGTTTTGCCAACTGTCAAGCATGATGGTACTCCGTACTAGGAGAGCATGCCGCCTTGTCTGCCAATGCCCACAGCCCAAGGGCCATACGCAGTAGGTGGAAGTGTTGGCCACACTACCTAAATCTCTTCCTCTTTCCCGATATCCGAGCTCGGGTCGACGGATCACGTTATCTCCCAGGGCCCAGAGGCAATGAGTCCTCATTCCTTCGCCGGCATTGGCACCGCACACATGTCGTCCATCTTGCAGGCCGGGGCAAATTGCTACTGAGGACCCTTAGTGACTGCTGGGGTCACCCGTCACGGGGTGAAGAGACCTGGGGTCAATAACGTGGAGGACAGGCGGAGTTTCCCTTATCCGCGGTTTTTGTTCCACAGATTTTGTGGAGAGGCGATATTGGGGCTCGGGCTACGAGTCTGCGGCGCTTCAGATTGCCTGGAGTCGCCCGCTCACAGGTGCGGCTAACAGCCACCATTCTCAATTTTGAACGGCAATTCTGGCCAGACCCTTTTCACCTCCGCATGTGCGATGCAAGGTACGCGCCTCTCCAGAATTTACATGTGGAAGAATGTTACCGTTTCTCCAACTTGCTGAATGCGGTTCCAAGCTTTACCGCTGACATCATGCTAAGGTTTGTTCTCTTGCGAAAGGGGACAGATTTCTTCCGGGGTAAACCCCCTCTATCTGCTTATCTTTCACATGTGACAGGAACGAGGGGCAAGCGTTCCAAACGTCCAGGGCCCAAAATCTTCAGGGCATTGTCCGGTTGAAAGACAACTCTCAGGTTCGTCAATTTGTCTGTTTGCATCTCACCTGAGGCATCTAGGACACAGCAGAGATTTCATAAGCGCCACTCACATGCCGCCTGCTTTTACAAAACCAAACCTCTGCTTCGTGGTATGAACAGTCGGCTTGATTGTTTGCTTGTGCTTTCGGGGAATCCCGGGATTTCGACCTCCCTCAGAAAACTGGGACTTGGTGTCATATCAACACACCGCGTTCGACATTTACACCTCTGGGCGTGCTCCCTTCTCTCCCCACACTTATCTGCATCCCCTGTATATCAGCCCCCTAGCGAAGCGCCATCCCCGGCTCATTCCCACGCCTTCAGTTATTGCCCTTTTCAGGAAGCTGGTTTCAAACACAGGCGTGTCCCGGCAAAGAAACTCGGGTCAATCTTCACCCAAGGCAGAAAGCACATGATACCAGTACGACCCTTGGCCCTTGGATTCTAGCTTCAAGAGCTACCGCCTTGGCCTCCTCCAAGTACTTTGCGGGGATGCTCAAAGTGAAGGGAGGTCTGGGGAAGCATGGGCAGATCCATTCTTTCTTCGAAGAGCTCGGTTCATTTCCGCTCGACCGTCGAACGCAGGAAGCAACAACTGACTCATGCTGGGCGAGCCTCGCAATCGACTCTGATGACAACTGCGGAAACCCACAGTTCCCCCGAGAAAATTGAGCGATAATGCGCCCGCTGGCGGCATTGCGAAGTCTTACAAGAGCCAGTCATTCCGACGCTTGTCTAGAGTGTTCAACCAGTGCACTCTTTGAGTTCATAGCCCCGGACTCTGGACTCGCAGGTCTTATCTTTCAGCCGTCATGAACCCGGTCCAAGCGAGACACAGAGGTAGGTGAAGCGATAACAGAAACGCCCAGGTGAGAGCGTCCGCCAGCGGTAGAAACAGCGAACCAGCCAGCGGGGTTCTCCCCGCGCGAACAACAACGGGCCTGTCTCATACAACAACACGACATGATACAAAGCAAAATGCAACTCTGAGCCCCAGGACTATGCATTATTGCTATTGTTGCCGCTGTCGAGAATGCAGAGGTCTCGCAACCCCCGCGCTTACGGTACATGCGTGGTGTGCAAGTTCGTCGTTGCAGCCCCCGCGAAATCCATCGGAAATTTCGAATATACTTGGTGAAAGCCCCCACAATCGTGCGATAAGCGTATGATTCTCCGCATGGCACAATTGCGTCCCATTCCGGCCGGAGGGCGGCACAAGCTATGCAGATACATGTGCAAATCGAGGTAGTCATTTTTCAATGGGGGTCGAGAAGTGGAAGCTTTTCCCAGGACAAAGACGGGAGTCCATGTTAAGTTGCGGGCGAGCCTCGGCAACATGTTCAGCGAAAATTCATGAGCAAACCAAATCAGTCCGATCAAGGCTTAGACGTCGACAAGGATATCCACGAAAGCTAACCGTCCACTGCATAAGCTTTATCTCTTTGCTGGGTATACTGGGGAAGGGGAGGAAGCAAAGAGCCGCAGGCAGAGTCGACCTCCAGCTTGCTGATACCCGACTCGAGATTGGCGCCTCCCAGCTCTACTGATACCCCTGAGAAAGTCGCGACTCGACAGAGAACCCTAGCTTGTAGAATGGACAACTTCCATTCGCTAGTCTGCTATCATTGCTCGTCAAAATGAACGGAACAATACACGCCATTCGGGATTCTGCACCACTGACCAATTAACCAAAGAAGGCTTGGTTTGGCGTCCGTGGACCTGTCTGCGACTAGATATCTTACTGTCCTTGAAAATACGAGTAGCGCAGCAATCAGACGTACCGGCCAGCCAGATCCAGGCGTGGAGAAGTCCGGGGGCGGGACAGAGGTGTGTGTAGCGGGAGAAGAAACTGGACAGATTTCTGAATTCTAGACTCCTAGAGCAATGGGGATGTTGCGACTGTTTGACAAATCCAACAGTGGAGGTGTCGACTCCGTGGCAGTTTGCCATTGCCAAACGCATTTGTTTCCATCAAACGAATCACCTCATTCTGTCGACCATGCCATCACAGAGTGCTCAGACGCCCCGATTACCATCAGCCTGACTCGGTTTACACACGGTTATATCGCGATAGCAATGCCATGTTTGGCGTACCGGAGCATGCTTTACGCCAAAGCTCGCGGGCTCGGAGCCTCTCGTCCGACGAAAATCAAGCAATCCACCAGTGAGGAGAAGAATCTAGGGATGAGAGATCTTACAGCACTGGGCACCCTAAATCTTGGGAACATGATCAAAAGGGTCTCCCCGGGATTCCCGAATCGAGCTTAGCGCATCTCGCAACCCGAGGGACTGTACGGAGTAAGCACCTGGATACATGGAAGTTCGAGCTGGAAAGGCAGTTCAACGACGGACCGACAATCTGACCAGCTGGGCACCCGTGGCGTGGCACCTGGGGTTATCGCATGCAATTGCGGACCTGACGCTAGAGAGGCAATAGAGCATGTGGCGCCGCTTGAAGATCACAGGTCTTGCGACGCCAATGAGAGACTTGGATGGAAGCATGGCTTGATGGCGATATCCTAGGACCAGAGCTTCGGATGGTTGTGGTGGCACGACGCCCCCACGTTCTGTCCCATTTGGAGTATGGGGGAGGCTCTTTCCTGGCTAAATGAGGGGTCTTTGGTCTTGCAATTACCGCAACGAGGGCACTCTCCTCCGATGCTGGATCCTGGA